CCCTCAGATTGTGAGTCCCAAATAAGAACAAAGATAATATTGTGAAAACATTAGTTCCATGAGATTATAAAATTACAAGTACTTATGAATACGTTCGTAACAAAGTGAAGAATATTAAACGCTTCTCGAAAGAATGATTTTCCAATTCATAAAGTAGACAAGGTAATAAGAATACATTTAGAATAAATTCAGATACTGAAACAACATATCATAAATGTGCCCAAATTATCGACATTGATGGTTCTGCCTTTTACTGGAAAACAAGTAATCTCTTGCGTAGAGTCTACCCTCAAATAGATCTGAGAATTATTTTCAAATCTGAAATGGATGTTGCTGTTTTTTTTTAATTCAAAGATACGATTTCTGCACAAACAACATCTAACGTTGTTTATGAACCTACTTGTCCTAGGCAGATATGGTCTACCACTAGATGGCTGGAAACCAGTGTGGAAACGTGGAAATATATTGAGTGAAAACAAATCAAGTGTAAAAATAGCGTGTCACGCGTAGTTGTAACGTAGCAGTAAAGAATGCTCATTTCAAGATTATGGTGAAAAGTAACAACGAAAGCAGTCGTCGTACTAACGGAACTAAAGGTTAAAATCACGAATTAATGAAGTTGGATTATCTGTGAAATTATCATTAAAATTGTGATGCATCCATTCAAAGTGTTTTCGTATATCAATGCATGCTAGATGTAAGCAAATTCATTCTTTTTCTACCAATCGGTTCAAGAGATGCTTAACTCTGTAGTTCAATTATCGCAAGAAACCCAGCTGTTTTCTTTAGTAAGTTTGTTTTGCATTTCGCGCAAAGTTACACGAGAGCTATCTACGGTAGCCGTCCCTAATTTAGCAGTGTAAGACTAGAGGGAAGGCAGCTAGTCATCACCACCACCCACCGCCAACTCTTAGGCTACTCTTTTACCAACGAATAGTGGGATTGACCGTCACATTATAACGCCCCCTCGGCTGAAAGGGTGAGTATGTTTGGTGTGATGGGGATTCGAACCCGCGACCCTCAGATTGCGAGTCGAGCGCCCTAACCACCTGGCTCTTTAGTAAGAAACGCTTTAAAAAAATAATAAGCTGTTTACAAGATTGTGTCTTAACCACCAAAATAACAACAACAACAAGCAAATACATGCTACTTAAGCGTCGTAGGAAAATAAACACGTTATTTGTTATAGTATGATTACACCTGAGGAAAAACGTTACTACGGAAATAAATGTGCTATAAGTTAGCGATTTCATAAAGAACGACTTGATAAGAACGTTGCGAGGAAATAAGCATGATAGTTATCAGGTTACGTCTTCACCTAATGAAAAGCGTGAACTGCATCGAAGGGAAACTAACAAGCTATTCAGTTGGGTACGAATTCGCCTGAAATTGCATAGAGAATAACGTGTTTATCAAGGTGCAACTTAACCAAAGAAAAGCGATGATTAAACTGTCATAGGAAGACAAGAAGCTGTTTAATAGTGTGCGATCTCACCTAAAGACGAATGTGAAATGATCGTTGTGTGGCATTATTTAACAATATATGACATGACAACATTGTAGGAAAATGTGCTAAACAGTGCGACTTCACCTAAACAAGTATATTACCTTCAGTGCTGTGTATGGGGATTAGAGAAAATTGACCATGGTGCGGCTTAACTTGAAACAGGGAATTTGCCAAAATGTTATAAAAATAATATTATTTTCCATAATGTGAATGTACTTAAAGATAGGCGCTGGAATAAACACCTTTTTCAAATTAAATAATAATAGCAGTAGTAGAAACTTGCCCATAAAGAACATTAACAGCTATGTGGTAAAAGAAAAATTAATTAATTTACATTCAATAGTGTATATTATATTAGGATGTTAGATGGGTAATATATCACTGTTGATATAATAATAATAAACAATTTCATCGATGTGTATGTAACTGGAAAGATAGTGAAAAGATATAGTGTATAAGTTTAATTTATTTCGTGGCTTCAGTTTACGTTGTACGACTTAAAACACAAATAAGAGAAGTTTAAACAATGCTTATCGTCCCATATATCTATATATCTAATAATAATAAACAATTTCATCGATGTGAATGTAACTGGAAAGATAGTGAAAAGATATAGTGTATAAGTTTAGTTTATTTCGTGGCTTCAGTTTACGTTGTACGACTTAAAACACAAATAAGAGAAGTTTAAACAATGCTTATCGTCCCATATATATATTAAATTTTAAATTAGATTTTTTATCAAACATGTTTCCAAATCTTATTTATTTTCGTAGTCCGTTTAATGACGTGATAAATATCTTTGGAAAAATATTTCAAAGAGCAATAATAGAGACAACTATATGTATTATCAGTACTTAAAAAACACACTTATACGCATACAAAAAATGTTA